TAGACATTTAAGAGCAGTTTTATCATAAACTGTACTGCTTTTCGGAAATATACGAACTACAAGAAAAGAAAATCTAGAAATGAAATCTTTTTAGTTCTTAAAGTTAATGTTTTTGCTTATTTTAAACATCGAATTTATTACCAGTTATTTTACGACAACCACTGACAGGACGAGTTGTCACTGTTGCTAATTTACAGCATTATCGGTGTTGAAAGTACGGGGGAAAGTGTAGCTGTTTTTTGGTAACGTTTATTTAGGTCGGTGTTTGAAGATTATTTGGTTAATGCTTTAACCAGCATTTTTAATCTTTTATATTTAAAAGTGGTAAAATATTTTGAGTCTAACCAGTGATTTTTTTTTATAACGTTAAAGTGCTACCTTCTTACCAGTTCTGTTAAAAAGTACAGAGATTAGAGCACAGTGTTTGCTGACTATTGCATCTGAAACCTGAGCTGATTTATTGGTTTGAAAAAACACGTTGGTTTTATTCGTTTTTTTTTTTTTAACCTTCGTATTTGTGGGAGTTTTTCTAGGCAAAAAATGTCGGACAGGAAAGCAAAGCTTCGCTTTTGTTTTTGTAAAACCAGTCTATTTTTCAAATTTGATAGCTTAAAGCAACTTTATATTTAGTTCCATTCTTGTTCTTTACTTATTCCTGAATCGTCGTTCAGACTTGAAACTTGTTTGATGTAATTTCCTTATATTGTAAATCTGATCAACTTGAAATTTTGAGGTTGCTTTTAAGCACATATTTGTAGATCAGTTTTTTTATATTGACTGACGACCTTTCTTAAGTTGTGTTGACGCAGAGTAGGCTTGTCATCTTCGTCTACACTTGAGTGAAACTATTGTTTTTAAGGTATGGATTGGTGGCGTAAGCCGATTCTTTATGAGTGATGCTGGAAAACATGTGTAACGACGGGTTAAAGGGTTAAAAAAACAGCAGGGATTTCCTAAAGTCAAGCAAAGGATTGGAAGCGAGTAGACATGAGGTAAATTAAGCTCTCTCTTACAAAACGAGCGAAATGTTTTGGCAGCAGTAGGTTTATAAGCTTTATAAAATCTTTTTCTTTTCTGAATAGGGCGTGGACGAGCAGTATTATCAGCATTGTGCAGATATTTTACTAGCCATTTTTTTTCGCTATTATCATTATTATCATAATTTTCTTTTAAACTATTGTGTTCCTTGCGATTGGACACAATGTTGATAACAATTTCTCAATTGGCAGCAAGAATGCTCGTTGAATTTAAGAGGTTTAAAAGCTTAAAACAGAATTGGTTATTATTTCTGGAAAATCACTGAGGCAAGTTTTTGTGCTTTGGTCTAGCATTCTGATATTTGTTAAGCAATTACTATTAGACTTTTACTAGTGCTATGGAACTTATAATGCTTTATTTCAGCTAAAAAAAAAAATTATCTGCTCTTCAGTGAGACTTGTCAGTATTACCGTTTGAAATGTTCCTGCCATTTTGATGTTTGATATCGCTTGTAAATTTTGGTTTCTTGTACTAAATTTCATCATATTTTAAACGCACCATATATAAAACTAATGTTTACTGATTGCACTAGCAGACTTTGCAAATTTTAATAATTCCGCAGAAATTGTAACAAGTTTCCGGAAAAAAAAAAGCAATTTACTAGGCTTAACAAATAGAAGCACACTACTAAAGGTACGCTTAGTTTATAAATTGCATTCATTAGCAGAAGTATTTATTTTTTTGATTAAAACATAAATCTTTCAACTTTCTGTTGTCTATGCTTTTCTGGGAATGTCTGTTTACACTCCGTTACAAATACTATTGAACTCAGTTGTCAAACTGCTGCACTGACACAGAAATTCTCGTTTTTTCACTCTTGTCGACGTATTTAAAAATCGTTCACAAGTCACTGAAAGTTTCCTGATCTTAAGCTTTTATTCACCTGTTTCGTAGGCCTCAGTAAGTATAAGACGATTTTTTAATAAGGCGAGTATAACAGCGTTTAGCTAGTATTATCATATTTCACTCCTAGGAAACTAACTTACTATTAACACTGAAATCTTTAGAACGTATTTTTTTAGAAGAGGCTGTCATGGCGTTTTGTCTTGAAATAACTGGACTTGTTTTACTAGCAAAAAGGGCATGTGCTTTATTTCATTAAGAAGCTTAAGTTTTGTTCAACTGTTTTCGTCAGTTTAGCTGTTTAGCTAACGGGCGGGCTAAACTAAAAGAAACCTACGTGATTGATTAAAAACCATCTTTAAGTGAACACAGACTAACTTAACTGGGCCAATTCTTTAGTGCATAAAAGTTTATTTTTGGACGCATATTTATAAGTGATGCTTTTGCAAATAAAAATAACTTTAAGTTGTTCTTGTCTGCACCAAATAAAGAGCCTAGTGGATTGTTTGAGATGGTCTTTTACTATAACACTTTTTTTTAAATGTATATTAGGGAAGTAATGAAGAATAAAGTGGTAAGCGACAAGAAGATTTACTCTTGTTATGATAATATTTTTCCCTTTTTCACTTAAATTTGATCAACTGAATTACGAAAAGAATAAGCTGTGACGGTGGAAAGAAAGTGACAAATCGCTGCCGTACAAAGTTTCATGAGAAAGAATTTTGGACGTTAGTTAAATTGCTGAACAGTATACGTCAAATTCAACCGAATAGCTACTACACTATGGACAAGTTTACATTAGTTTCTTAAGTTATTTCTCACGTTTATTGTACAGCTTTCTTCTGAACAGTTATCAATGCTTTTCATAATGACTGAGTAAAGATGAGGTGATGCATTCTAACAGTAAAGTTGTGATGTAATATTTTTTTGAATTCTGATCAATGTGTGGTCGAGAAAAGAAGATATTTTAAACACTTAATCTTCTTTGACATATTGTTTTTAAGTGATCTAATTGTCGGTTTTGGCTGATGCGGCAGTCTTAAATAGTCTTAAACAAAAAAAAAAAACCTATAATAATAATGCTAAAATGTGGCTTCACAGTTTAGAGAAAAAGAAATTGATTTCAAGTTTTGAACAAAAATATTACTTGGGAAATTACGCAGCACTCACATGACCCGTTTCTTTCTGTTCATCCCTTAACTAAGAATTTTTTTAATACACTCTTTTACCAACACTTTCTTAGACGATGATCAATTTCAGCATTTGTAGCGTAATCTGATGAGTTGACGACTGATGAAAAAAAGAGGGAACTTTTTTATCAAAGCTTAGATTATAATGAAAATGTCTTTTGATGGAGTTCGGTTATACGGATTGCAGCTAATGATGTAATTGAAGCTAACGAAGATAGGTGAACACACTCTCTACTTTAAAACGTCTCATTTAGAGGCATATTTATCATAAATAAAACCTTTGAGTTCTTTGAAAAAAAAAAACGCAAGCTATTGAAACTTTGTTGGTGACGTCATACTTTAGTATGTCATTTTACTGATGCTGTCGTCGCATACAGTCACAGATTTCTGCATAATCTAGTTAAAAAATCGTTTACATCTTTATCATTGATCACATAATAAAATGCCAAAGAAAATTTGATCTTACCTACTGTTTTGGAAATGAACTAAGCTAATTGCTTATCTACATAGCTGTTTTCACTGTTAGTAAAGCGTTGTTTTCCTTTTACTTTGCATATTTAAGCGTTAAATTTTGCGGATTTTATTTCTTTCCAGCTTTTTAATCTTAACTGCTCTGATCTGCTATTTTTCTCAGGAAAATTTTTTTGAAAAAGGAATGTACATTTTGCTTTGATAATAATAATATTAAAGATAAAATTTAAAGTTTATGAAGATTTTTCTGCATCAATAAGTGGTCATTTTTCTATTCTTTCCGTGACATAAATACATCGTTACAGTAGGGTTTATTTGAAAGGAAAATAGTGGCCAAATAATTAGGACTTCAACGTATTTTTTCGCCTGTTATTTTGAAGCATTTGATTTGTCACCAAATCAACAACTGCTTAGACTTCAATATCATTTTTCCAGACTGTTTTTAAAGAAATAAAAGAGGATGCTATTTTAGATTTTCTATAACTTTTTTTTTTTTTTCAGCAGACCATTAAGCTCAGGTTTTCAGTAATTGTATCAGTTTTTTTTTGTCTCAGAATGATTTCTAGAAACCATCCTGAGAATCGACGACCGTGTTAGCCTATCAGAATTCGTTGCTATTTTTTTAAAGTATCTTTGTTTTTGATGTTGTTGCCGTCATTTTCTTTTTTTTTAATACATTTAATTTGCGTCACATTGCTCCTCCCTTTGTGTTCTTTTTTCAGAACCTCAAAAGCAGAAGAAACCCTATAAAGACATTTTGCGATCTAAATTTCTGGATGAAATCGTTATATTCAAATTCTTTAAAGTTTGTT